TTCCCCTCCCTCTCCATCTTTCTTTTCCTTATCTTCTTCCCATCTTGCAGCCGACACAGCACCCCACCACCACACCCAACTCCTTCCTTCCTCTCCTCTTCCACGAGCCACCACCACCCTACCCTTCTCTACCACCGCGACCCGCCACCATCACCACCGCCAAACCACCACTCGTCCACTGCACCTCCACGCCGGACACACACGCACCGCCTCCACACAACCCAACACCCTTACCTACAACACCGTCCTCCTCCTTCTCCTCCATGCCGTAGCAGCCGTCACACGAGGCAACACTGCCGCGCCTCCACCTCCACGCGAAGCCGACCGAGTGCATCACACCCCCCACCGCGCGAACTCGCCTCCGGCCCTTGCACCAGCAGCCGCGGCGTGTTCTTCCCCTTGCGCCACCGTCACCTCACTTGCCGCCGCGTCCAGTCACCGCCCCTGCACCGTGCCACCAAGCTGCTCGCCGCGCCCGTCACCCGCCTCGCGCAGCGTCGCCTCTCCTTCTTGACGTGCACTCACCCGATGACGACGCAGCCTGCGGACGGCCACGACCAGCACCGCCACTTCCGCGTCGCCTCCAGCTCCTGCCGCCAGCCGCCACAGTCATCGCTCGTCAGCCGCCCCACCTCGCTCGTCGTCCAGCTGCCCGTCATCCCGCGCAGGTAAGCCACGGGGTTGAAGAAGACCCGTGCACTGTTGATGCATGGGCAGTTTTGTTTTTTTTTTGCATGGGCTGCATAATTTCATGCATGTTGGGTTAATGGGTTTTGTTGGGTTTTGGGCTTAGGGCATAGGTTATGGGCTGGAAGGTTAATGGTGATTTGGGTTCATGGTTTGGGTAGGTATGGGCTGTGAGTTGGGTTTAGTGGGTTTAGTTTGGGTTGTAATGGAATTGGGCTTTAGACTTAGGTGCTTATGATGGGCTTGGGTTTGGGTCTTGGCATGATGGGCTCCGCCTTGGGCCTGGCTTGGACTCGGCCCAGTCCGTTTAATTTAATTCAAAAATTTTTATTATATATATATATGTATTTACTAATATACTGGTAATTAATTTTGGAAAAAAATTTCATAGTTATTTTGAGAAAATTATGGACGATTTTATTCTGTAATTTTTATTAAAGTATAGATATATTTACTTTGATAAATAATTAAGTTATGTTTTGGAAAACTATTGTTAATTGGAAGAATATATATATGCCTTGGAAATAATTTCTAGAAATTTAATATGTAAATAATTTTGTTTGGAAAATTACTATTGTGGTGTAAGTATATAAATATGTATTCGGTAAATTAAAATTAATTATGTTTTGTGTTGGAAAAATAAATTGTATATATATTTGGAAAAGATAAATACTATAAATATTTTCTAGAAATTATAAATAGGTTATTATTTTTCTGGAAAGATTATATAGATTATAATTTTGGAAATTATAATTATTTTATGAAAATATATTTCGAAAAGAGTTTTAATTAAAGTATGGTACCGAAATTATATTCGGAAATACGTACGGTAAATATTTTCGGTAAATAGAAATAATAAGGGATAAAAACCGGGATGGGTTAATACGCAGTTTGGCATCATAGAGTACCGAATATGTACATTTATGTGTATGCATTGTTTTGTTGTATAGGTTATGATATCGAGCAGTTCCTGTGGAACCGGCCTTGGAACCTGTTGAGGATTCCGCATTTGGTAATCGGCTAAGGTGAGGTTAAGTAAATATTTATTTACATCCCGTGATATCAAGTTGCTGTTTGCTTACTGTGTTCGATGTTGCTGGTATGATACTTTGTGGCTGAGTATGATTGTTTTTAGATGATTTTAATTGATAATTATTGTCGTTGATGTTGTGAAAATTATTATTGCTGTTGATATCATTGATGAGGTTGGAATTGTGGATATAAGTAAGACTATTGTTGTTGTTGACCGTAGAATTGTGTGAGTTGAGTACCGAGGGTACTATGATGTGATGACAGTTTGATATTGGTTATTATCCAGACGAGCGGAGAGGCTGCGAGCCTGCTCGGGATAATGAGACAATGGTTGGATGATAGAGATGTAGTGACTAGTCGAGGAAAAAGGAAATAATAAAATTGAATACACTTAGACATCTAGTGAGTCACAGTTAAATGTTGGAACAGCCAGATGGTAGTCTTATTTTATGGTGCTGGGGGAGAGTGTGCTTGGGGTCTGCTCCCTGTCTGTACCAGTTATTTATATTTAGGCGCTGGGGGAGAGTGTGCTTGGGGTCTGCTCCCTGTCTGTGCCAGTTATTACGTGGAGGTACCGGGGAGGGGTCCACGGGCTAGCTAGCTTGACTACCAGGCGACGGCCATCATTTAGCTTGTGATAGGGGCCCTGATAATAAAATTGGAATAGCGTGTCTAGAATCACCAGTGTGTATTTAAGGTTCGTGAGAACCTTGGTTAGTTGTTGTGTTGTGACTTGGAATAGTTACGGTGTATGTTTATGTATATTTGCTTATGGGTTTACCCGGTGGGCACTTCGGACTCACCCCTCACCTGCGGGCTTTCATCCCGTAGGTTGAGTTATTTGTGGTTCAGGTACATTGCATTCCAGACAGGCTGCGGCGTTATCCCTTGGACGGACTTGGATCCATAGTTTGCATGTGTCGCATACAGTGTTAGTGAGTTATTTAAGTCTTCCGCTGTGCACTGTTGTTATATTTATTGGGCCAATGGGCCGGATTTGTATTTATGATGTTTTACTATTTTGGGCCGTTGGGCCCGAATTATTGATCTTCACACTGTATGCTTGGTCTTATTTTGGTTGGGTCGTCACAGTTCCGGCACGTGTTTACCGTGTACGGTAAATACGGGTCGGGGCGTTTCAGTCCACCAATTAATGTCTTACTATTTTATTTATTTTCCAAGATTTAGCTTCTCAAGAGTTAGTTTTTATGAGGTTTACCTGATGTAATTTCAAGTCATCGAGATGGATACCTCAAATGCAGCTGCTTTGTCAGATTGAAGCTTTTGGTGTGCTCGTTTGAATGAAGGAACTAACGCTTTAAGAGATGTTGAGAACTGTACCTAGGTGAGACCTAACTGGGCCGAAGTTTATTAAAAGGCTTGTGTGGCTTGAAAGTTACTGAAAATATGTGGTCTCCTCGTTCATGCGATGTTTCAATCTGAATTCTCATATGTAACTGATTGTAGACACTATAATAATCTTAACCATCAAGGCCATATGTACTCAAAATGCAAACCAAAATTTAACCCACAAGGGGGACTAATTTAATTTAAATTTACCAGATAAATAAAAACAAAAGAGAAAAAGGAAAAGAAAACAAAAAAGAGGACAACTGTGGGTGCTCGACCGCACTAAACAAAACAGGCAATTAAAAGAGCGTAAAAGGGTTAAGGACCTAAAAAAAAATTAAATAAAATTAAACAAAATTTGATATTAAAAATTAGTAATTAAGGGCCCAACCAGATTCGAACCGATGACCTCTTCATTTATAATCAAATGCTCTACCACTGAGCTATTGACCCACATAAGAAAAAAAAAAAATTCATACACTAAAAAATTCTCTCATCTGCCACGTAACAGTAGGGATGGCAATTGGGTAGGGTCGGGTAGGGTAAGAATGGACTAATTATGAACAGGGTAGGGTAAAGTTTAATTTTTTTTGCCCAACGGGTAATTCGGGTCTGGGTAAGGGTATACCCGCTAAGTAAAAATCAAGTTCTAATTAAAAAAATCCTAAAATTATTAAATTAGCATTCATGAAATATATTCCAAGTTCAAGCATAAAAATTTTTAAAATAACAAGAAGTCCAAAAATTTAAAGTAGCGTGTAACTTTTCTCAACTTAAAATCCAGACAATTTTTTTATTTCTTAATCTCCATCCTCTTCTCTACCAAGATCAACAGATATTTTTTTTAAAAAAGTTAATATTATTAAATAATACAAAAATAAGAATCTTATAATAAGTTAAAAATATAAATTAATATTGAATGCTTATTTTCTTCTTCCATATTATTATCATAAATAATTGTCAGATAATTATAAATTATTGTTCCTTTAAAGAAAAAGAAAAATTATAATAACATAATATTGGTTTAGGGTTGTAGAGCACGAAATTTCAATAAACCTAAGAGGAGGTGAACGAAATTTCAATAGAAAAAGAAGAGGAGGTGAGTGAAAAAGAATTAAAGAAACAAAAGAAAGAAAATCAAGTTGATTTTTATATTAAGGTCATAGATTTTAGAATATTATAATGGATAGGGTCTAACGGGTAGGGTAAAATCTAGATCCTTACCCAGACCCAGACCTTTCTCGGACCCGGTCAACTCGGGTCCGGGTAATACCCTACCCTTTTTTTACCCGGTCAAAGTCGGATAATACCCTACCCATAAAAGCGGATTTCGAGTGGGTATCGGGTAGACCCAGAAAAATTGCCATCCCTACGTAACAGGTCTCATCCATTCACTACCAATAAAGTTGAATTTGCAAGTAGCTAACAAAATATGGCTGTCACACCCCACTTGATTCACACATATAAAGGAGGCTGTCACACCCGAATTGATCCACATCACGCATAATCCATAGTCCATGGCTATAACTTTCCAGGAGAATACTGGAAAAAAGAAACTGAAAAAAGTCAAAAACCACACTATAATAATCTTAACTTAACCATCAAGGCCATACCATATGTATTCACACTGCAAACCAAAATTTAACCCACACCAGGGGACTAATTTAATTCAATTTAACCAGAGAAATGATTTCTTTGTAAAAACAAAAGAGAGGACAACTGTGGGTGCTAGCTCGACCGCACCAAACAAAATAGGCAATTAAAAGACCGGAAAAGGCCATGTGTCTAAGGAAGAAGAAGTAAGAATCATCCACACAGATACAAGTCCCAGGTCCCAGCTGCCAGCTGACTTTACTAAGCCAACAAAGTTAGACAGTAGCACACTACAAATCCAAGTAAGCACGTAAAATAAAACTTAAAAAAAAAAAAAAGGGCACAAGTCAAGAAAAATCAGCTCTCTCTTCCACAGAAAAACATGTCTCTTTAGCCAGCAGTTGAGAGTTGGGTGGCTTCACTTCATTTTCAATCTCCTCTCAATCAAAAATAAAAAGCAAAAAAGAAACCCACACAGAGAGAGAGGCAGGCAGGCGGTTACCCCCAGACCCGTTTCCCTCGTTTCCTCCGCCCCTCTTTCCTTCCCTCTATATTAACTCCATTCATTTCTCTCCTCTCTTCCCACCCACATTTCTCTCCCTTTCTCCGCCCAATTTTCACACGCCCAAACACGACACAATGGCTTCCGCTTTCTCCGCCACCAAATTCCCCCTCCTCCCTCTCAACGGCGCCGCCAGATCTCACGACCACCACCACCTCCCTCCCCTCTTCGACCCTCTCAAGTCTTTTTCTTCTTCCTCCTCCTCCTCCTCTTCCTTCCTCTTCCGATCCAAATCCCGCAACCTCCGCCTCCACAAGCTCAACTCCTCCGCCCCCCGCCGATCCCCCGTCGTCGCCGTCTCCGAGGCCGTCAAGGAAAAGAAAAGCAAATCCTCCTCCAATTTGGTACTAACCTCCCTCCCTCCAATTATCACCACTCCGTCAATTAACTCGTTTTTTCTGCTTAATTAACTTTTTATCCTCTTTTTGTCTTCTAGTTGATTACCAAACAAGAAGGATTGGAGCTTTACGAGGACATGGTACTGGGTAGATCTTTCGAGGACATGTGCGCTCAGATGTACTACAGAGGCAAAATGTTCGGCAAGCAAGTAGAGATGTTGCCGGTCCTTCGACACAGATGACCCAAATAGTTCGAGAACTTCGTCCTTCTGACGTATCAGTCGTGGATGGCACTAGTGCAGGTGCGCAACTCGTTCCCGCAGGGGCGTGCGCGGCAGTACTCGCTCGAGAAGCCGTTCTGGTGGCCGACGACGGCGCCGGTCCCGCCGAGTTACGTGTACATCTCCAAGGAGCATAACGTGCTCGGTGGGTTTGCCTTCATCGGGGAAGGGATTCCGGTCGCCACGGGGGCTGCCTTTACCTCCAAGTATAAGAGGGAGGTTTTGGGGGAGAAGGATTGCGATGAAGTGACCGTTGCATTCTTCGGGGACGGGACTTGTAATAATGGGCAGTTCTATGAGTGCTTGAACATGGCTGCCTTGTGGAAGCTGCCTATTGTGTTTGTTGTGGAGAATAATTTGTGGGCCATTGGGATGTCTCACCTGAGATCAACATCGGATCCCCAGATTTGGAAGAAGGGTCCGGCTTTTGGGATGCCGGGTGTTCATGTTGATGGGATGGATGTTTTGAAGGTCAGGGAAGTGGCCAAGGAGGCAATTGGTAGAGCTAGGAGAGGAGAAGGGCCTACATTGGTGGAGTGTGAGACTTACAGGTTTAGAGGCCACTCCTTGGCTGACCCCGATGAGCTCCGTGATCCTGGTTAGTGTTTCTGGCCCCAGTTCAGTTTTTGCATCATATGATTATAATTATTTTGGATCCATGCTATGCTCCAGTCATCATGCATTTGATAGCTAGATGTGATCACCATTGTTTTCCTTAGAAAACTGTTAGTGTTGATAATTTGTCTGTGGTCTCATTAATCGGAGCATGCAATTTTAAGTTTCTGATATTCATAGTGTTGATAATTTGTTCTGTGATTACCGTTTCGATTGACCTTTTGGCCTCATATGTCATGATATCTTGCACAAACTATTAATTTTCAATTTCGTCCCTCCACAAGAAGATGCTGACGAGATGTTCCTTGTACAGTAACTCAGTCAGCAACTACATAAGAACTTTTAGATGTTTAACATGTTGATTAGTAGAATTACGGTCAATCACATATTTTCTTCTCCATAATCTTCTAATATTGTTTTGAACAGCTGAGAAGGCTCACTATGCTACTAGAGATCCCATCACAGCCTTGAAGAAGTATATACTTGAGAACAACCTCGCTACTGAAGCTGAGTTGAAGACCATTGAGAAGAAGATAGATGAAGTTGTGGAGGAGTCCGTAGAGTTCGCAGACGAGAGCCCTGTGCCCTCTCGTAGCCAGCTGCTTGAGAATGTATTTGCAGATCCAAAGGGCTTTGGAATTGGAGCTGATGGGCGGTATAGATGCGAGGATCCCAAATTTACACAAGGCACTGCCCATGTTTAGGTTCCTAAGTTGGATATTTATTAACGTCTGTGCTGCTGCCGCCTGTTAGTTCGTCTGCTATGGCGCCATATTTAGGTGTTGCTAGCTATCTGTTGTGCCTCTATTTATGTGTAATGCTTTTCTTGTGTAAGCAGGATTTGTTTGTTCAGGTTTTCTTCCTAAATTTTGTTTTCTTTTTTGTTCTCCATCATTGTCCTTATGCCTCTATTTATTGAACTAATTTTTTTGAGCGGACAATCCTGGTGTTATAATTTCTAAGATGTATAATGCCCTAATAAGTTTTGAGATATTTAATGGCCTACTTTTCGCAGCTGTGTGTTCAAAATTAAATATTGTAGCCTGAAATGACGATTGTTCACGAGTAAAAATGACCTTCAAAAAGCGCTGGATCTCGATTTTCAAAGTCTGAAATGAACAACTGATCATGCGATATGGTATCATTTTGAATCCAAGGTACTTTTTAATGATCAGTAAAAGTACACAGTATATTCCTCCCACGCTCCACAATTGTAAAGGCAGATTACCTTTTGTCCAAACCTTGCACAAAGAAATTCTAAATTTCTAAAGAAATAAACTCCACTTTCTAAATAACAAAGAAATTCATGAAAAAGAAAGTCTCCAGTATTTCAATTTAGGGTAAAATTATCAAGATGTATAAAACAAATGGCACAAGAATAACACAAGTACACTCATATGGCTGTGCAACTATAAGCGGAGCAAGAATGCAGCGATAGAGGGAACTTATCATTGACCCGCCTAAGGAAAAAAAAAACGAACTATTCATAAAAGAATATATAAGGGGAAGTTTGGGGCAAAAATGAAATAGGATTACAAGTTTACAGCTGCAAACGATTAATGGCATCGGAGCTAAAATCAACTCTTAGTGCCAATACTCTTCTAACCTCAGCAGGGGTTAGCCTCCATGTCATGGGTCCTGAATTCTCACCCCAGAAATCTAGAATCTCGGAAACCTTCTCTAAGTTGAGTATGGTTGCCATTTGAGTGAGACGCGCAAATTTGTCTCTAACAGTTCTCTGAGTCATGCTAGAGAAATGGCTTACCAAGGCCCTTGCGTCTCTGTCGAGCTGAAGGCCCCCAAGCTGACTGAATCTTTTCTGTAACATAATTGCTTCAAGCCTCTTCACAATGAAATCAATGACCAAATGCACGAGTGAATCATAGTTGTTGGCAGTCATTAGTGGCTGGAGCCATGATACGTTTGTTTCAACAGAGTGGAGAAGCCTTTGGACCCACGGGTCATTGACCTCATTATCTGCATATTCCGACTCGGATAACTCGTAGCTTATGGTAGCCACACTATCTAACAATGGACGAATACGGGGTGTTATAGTCACCAAAA